CAACGTAACGCTCCCATAAACATACGTGACATTTACAGTTAAGAAATGGAGTTTAATTTTGGTCGTCTTGTCAAAATAAACAACATTTATATGTTTGCATTTATAAAATCAATTAAAATGATGCGGAAATGGATGTATAAATCGTTAAAAAGTTAGCTTATTAATTGAAATGGATTGTATTTTACTTTCCTAATTTAAAATAATGTCAAGGAAATGAGAAATTTCTTACCATTTCCGATTTTGTGTATCTAAATTTACTTCGAAGCAGATCGTACCTCGTCCGGAAGTACGCATAAACACCTAGCGGCCGTTCCTAGAATTACTTTTAAAAAACAAAAAAGTACAGTAATAAAAATATAAATCAGAAATAATAGCGATAAAAACTTATATTCTCAATTAAATATAATTAAAATAAATTATATATGTATATATATTAAATAATTTACAATAATTAAAAATAATATAAATTCCTGTATATCCATGTATTTATGTACTATACTGTACAGTATGGTACCAAGGACTGTTTAAAGTCCTTGGTACGGTACTATATATTTTGAATATATTTATCAATACTATTTTGAGTGTATTTTAAAAGCGATTACAATATATAACAGTTTACTTTTCCAGTTTTTAGAACGAATAGAACTTGCTATATAGTATATACGTACTAAATGGTAGTATGCTGGAGTTCATTTTAATACCAATCAGATTTGGAAAATTAAAAGAAAATATTTAAAAAGTTTCTAAAAACCAAAAGAAAATCAGGGAATAAATTTATGTACTAATATAAAACATTATCGTCCCTCGTATTGTCTTATCTCATGTTCAACAAATCGTCAATAGCGAAGTTGCCGCCGAAGCACTTATTAGAGATTTCATCTCTAATAAGTGAACGTCGGCTGCAATCTCTCTATTATGTACTGTACAGTACGTAGGTATTATATAATATGGATGCATATGTAATATTTCAGTGTTGTCTACAAATATTTTGCTCATATTATCTGATAATCTTATGATAAATTTCGTTTATACGTTTAATCCTATAGTAAACTACTAAAAGAAATATATTTCAATTGTTAATGCGATTCTCTTCAAAAATATTTTTTTTATAAGGATATTCTATTAATAGCAATTTTATTAGCGTTAAAAAATTCCGGATATAGTGTTAGAAATTATTAGATTGTATAAACTAAAAAAATAATTTATTATATTATAAAAATTTTAAATCTATAATACACGAATAATTCGACATTTATTCTAACTGATGATGTTTTGTAAATTTAAAATATACAATTATAAAACGTCTATGCTACCTTTCAATCAACAATATATGTATATGTTTTTAGATGTGTTTATAAAAAATTTTACATACAAATATATTTTCCATATCCCCACTAACAGAATAAAAGGTGCTCCACCACTGCAATGTTTTTTATACATCATATCAAGGTCTAAACTCTGGAGTATGTTTCATATACATTGCTATAGAAGAAAGTTTGTACAAAATTATTATATTTTCTGTTTTGAAGATTTCTAAATAATATATTATTCTTACAAATTCATATTATTCATTACAAATTCATTACAAATTTATCTTACAAATTCATATTGACGTCTTAAGTACAGTATAATATATATACTGGTATATAAATTTTATGTTATTATTTTATTATATTATTTTAAGTAGTATTTATATAAAAAATAGACACATATTTCTGTAATTATTATTTAATTAGCTGTCGACATTAGAAATTTTATATTTAAAAAAAAATATATATATATATATATATATAAGGAGACCTAATATCAAATTAAATTCTTATTTAGGATAATAATTTTAAACACAAATATTTAATATTATTTTCATTTTATTTTAATATAATCATGAAGATAAGTCTTTTACTTTCCAGTTAATGAAGGTTATTAATATAATATAAAATATTTGCATTTTTACATACGTGTAAATATTTTTAATATTAGTATAAATATAATTACATATTTATTACATAATAATAATATAACTGAAATTTGTTGCATTTTGTATAGAATAAAGTTATATTTTTATTATCAATATTTTATTTTTTTTTATTTTGTATTTGTAGAAATATTATAAATGAAAACACGAAAAGTGTACTGTAAAAGATACTTTCCTGCATTACGCCGATATCATAGAGGTGAAGTCATCTTCACAGGCTAATTCCTGAATGACAATTGAAGTTTATAAAAAAATTGGAAAATGAAGAATTATAAAATAAATATCTATCAGTTATACAAAAAATTTCCATTTTATGAAAACGAGAAATTTTGTATTTTTAAGAATATTTCATTATTTAACACATTAAATATTTTGTCTATTTTTGATTTTAAGTAAACTCTCATTAAAAGTATTAAGAATTTAAACTTTTTATTTTATTATTTTAAAAAAACAAGTGGTAACACGATTTCCTGTACGCCGCCCTGCAAAGTGTCGGATTACTGGACGTGTCGGACTGGCAAGTGACGGATTATAGGGACTCTAAATGTTTTTCCCCGACAATACATCCAACGGAGAGTTGGATATCTGTTTGTAGCACATAGAAATCTTTCCAAAACAAAGTTTTTATTTTACATGTACAATATCTTACATATTTAGACAGTTGGCACATGTTTTACGTATTTTGTATATTTTTCCCTTTTTCTAAATATTTTGGGTCTCAATATTTCTCGCTTCCATTGATGCCGTTAATGACGTCACTTTGACTTTGAAATCAATAGCGAAATTTATGTAGTTAATTCATTTAAAGGCATAATGCAAACGAATTTCAAAATTTAATTTACGAATAAAATTTATTAAGTTTGATTCAAGTATGAATGTGTACGGTGAATTTTTTATTTAGTTATTTGTACAGTACGTATGAACTTTTCAGCCATATTGCGGAACTAATGGGAGGTATTACCCAATTGAATTAACAACGCAGGTGGGAAATCATACAGTACAGTGCTTTTGTATTTGGAGGGTTTTTGACGAGTTTCAACAACAGATGACGGAAAAAATAGTGGGTTAGAACCATAGTGTAATAAGGAAAAGTGAGGGAGCTCTAAGATTTTGGTGAAGGAATGAACTAAAATCCGTCCATATTCCTTTCATCGTTTGCCTAGAATCCGCCGGATGTAACGTGAAAAGTCTATTTTCATATTTCCAATTGAAGTATAGTTAGATAAGTACAGTAGTTTTGTTTTAATATACTATAAACTTAGTCAAACATTTCAAAGATGCTTTCGTAGTAAATTTTTATTATATTATAATTATAAATAAATAAATGGTTGAAAACAAAAAATGTCTAATCTCTAATTACTCTGTCTGTTTTCAAGTATTTATTCATTCATTCATTTGTTTATAATTGTAATACAATAAAAATTTACTACGAAAGTATCTTTGAAATGTTTTTTCTTTCTCTTGCTTTTCAACTCAAGCAAATAATTTTTTTTTTTTTTGCATATTGGCATATTGACTCTAAAGAACGTAATAATGAATTATGTAAGCTATCATCTCTTCTGTGTGTTCTTTGAATGGGAATTGCACTGTTACATAAAATTGCCTTGTTACATAAAATGCTCTATGCAGTCTTCGTAAACAGATACTTCTTCACAATTTTGTATTTGTAGCCAAATCCGTAGTTTTGGATAAATTAATTCACCTTTATTTTTTACATTAACAAGTTCAGCTTCCGTTAAATTGGAGAAGTACTGTATGTATAAAATGTCTCAATCCAAACTTGACATAGAATATTCTTTAGAAATTGTTTAGATAAAACTACAGACAATAAATAATGCAGTCTCAGACTTCTTCTTTGATTAAAAAAATGCTGGACACACGATTAAATTTTATTAATGTGAATAGCTTTTATTGAGATTGAGATTTCTGTTGTCAAAGACTGAAAATCGATCAAATCCAAAACTGATTTTTGTTCATTAACTTCAACTCCCTTCTGCAACAGTTCATTTATTATAACTTGAAAACTAATAATTAAATGTTACTTTGTAAATAATTAGATGTATCGCGTTTATTCTAATGAGTACTTTTTTCTTTCTCTTTTTTTCTGGTCTCAAAACGTAGGGTGAAGATTAAAATTAGAAAAAAGTCGACTTAATTCAGACTCTTTCGCGACACCAATAGAGAAATGATACACGACCTTCTTGACTCCCGTGGAAAGAGAATACAGAAGACACCAAAAGAGAGACGAAGAAGGATCTCTTTGCCACGTTTTCTTAAAGCCTACGTACGGCGAAGAGAGAAGCAACGAACGAACGGGGGCAAAGATGATCTCTTCCCGATTCTTGGGCAATGGGATCGAGTTAATGATTTTCTATGAATTGCCAATATTCTGGTTTTTTATTTTGTTTTTATGTATAATAAGGCTGTTAGGAGTTCTAAATTAATTATATTTTATTGACAGTATTCGTATATTTGTTTTATTAAACAAAAGAAATGCACGAATATTTCCAATAAAATATAAGTTATAGATAAGTGAATTTTAAGTTACTGGCTTTCATTGTTTCTAGGGGCGCATATACTTTTCGTTTCAGATGGATCGATCTGCAAGATCAGTCTTTGTAACGTGATACAGATCGCTTCTGTCATGTATTATTACTTTTTATTGAAATAAATAACTTTACACGTGGACTTCACGAGAAAACGACATGGATGACTTGCATGCGGTTTGTTTACATTAAAAAAAAACCAACGTTAACTCTTCTGCTACGTGACAGAAGGATCCTTGTCATATTTTTTCTTTTAATTACAACATGCATTTTAATTGACGGAAAGTATACAAATAGGAGAGAATCGTATTTACTCTTTGAATGAAATTGCGCATAAAACGGCAAAATGGAAAAATGCACGCCATGCATTCTTGCCGTACAATCTCACAAAATTGTCTCTTAATACTTAGTTTTTCATCTCAGTTTATTGGATATTTCAATAATGATGTTTTTACTTAGTATTTATAAGTTTTAAATACCTTTTATTTCGACAGTTAAACATATTTCTTTGCTCTCAACTATAAGCTTGATTTTAACCGCCATCTTTAATCTTTTCTATCCGATCCAAACGATCCTGCCTTCCGTTCGGATTAGTTTGATCGCGATCCAGTTTATCCTAAATGGCATTTGTATAAGTGAATAGAGATTAATCAGATCACTATAGTTCGTGTGTATACACGATTTGAACGATAAGAGTAAACTTGGATCAGTTTGATTACAAAAGTATATAAACCTTAGCTATTATGATATTGCATCCAGCTAGTTTAGATAGTAATAATACTGTAAGTTTCGAATAGTTGAATTTATGTATGCGGAAGTAATTATAAATGCTATTAAATATTACATTTCCGGCTGTTATACAAAGGGGAAAGTATGGCGATCCGGCAAAAAATGACCCCTCCAGATTTTTACATTTTCGAACTTAGGACACCTTGAATCGTCGAGAAATCAAAAAAGTTCGGGGTAATTTCTGTATGTTTGGATGTTAGCGCGTATGTGTGGTAGGGGCACAGTTTTGTCACTCTGTTTAAAGTTTAATAACTCCTGTGCTTTTTGACAAAAATTTCTGAAATTTTGCAGGGCAGTTTGTTTATTAGGGGGATTGATGTTATTAAATTTTGGTGATTAAAAGTCGAGGGAGTGGAGAAATAATGGGGATCGCGTGTATCTCTAGTAGGATCGGACTTAATGACGAATTTTACTTGTTATTATCATTTAAAATTTTTTATAAAACCCATCCCTATCCTCAAAATTAAGCTTTTTTACATTTTATAATAGTTAAAAATATAACAAGTTTTTAAATAAACTATGATATGATATATTGAATATGATATTAAATGTCGCCGGGAAAGTTGAGCAACTCGTTGCTGGATTTATAAATTTAATTTCATAGAAGTATTGGTCCGCGAGGTATTGAAATGAAAAAAAAGTTTGAGAAGCGCTGCTCTCTCTAACACGTGTTGCATCTATTGTTTGAAATAAAATATTTTATTTCCTTAACTCTGTGGATTTCGTTATAGGATGTTACGGAAGCTTAAGTGAAGCAAAGTTCGTCAAACAGTAATCCGCTAGATCAGTGGTTCTCAACTTTTTTTTGTTGATGTACCCCATTAGCTCATTAGTTGTTTCTCAAGTACCCCTTATATTTTTGTATGTAAATTTCATAATTACTGCATTAGATGTATACAGCCCTTATAACTCTTATAACTAAGTGCCATAAAAGAAGCTCTAACTAACTATAACTAAAAGTGAATTACTTATTTTACGTAAATAATAATAAATTTACTCAGGTACATACATTTATTTGATAAGTATATTATATAAAATCACAGAATACTTGCATAAATTACATTTCCTAAAAATATATAATTATAATTAACGATAAAGAAAATTTAAATTGTTCTACAATAATCTCTAACAAAATTTAATGGGATATTTGTTGTGATAAATCTTCAGCAATATTTTCAAAATTTGATTCCCACGTTTTTAAATAGAGATTATAATTGTGTACTGACCTTAAAAGTAATGGCTGCAAATTTATAATGTGCAGAACAATAAATGAATCTTTCAATTTTTGTAACAAATGTAATGTCTAAATTTGCTAAATATCAAGTAATGCGCACATGCAGTAACATGCATTACATGGTAGGAGTATAATCCAGGCCTCATTATTCCTAATACCAGTAGTCCAATAAAAACACGAAAGGCCCCGATCTCATTGAGCAATAATTATAGAAGAGAATAAAAAATTTTTTTCTATTATAACATTAATTCTCAGTTAAACCATAATTTTACTAGACTACAGGTTCACTCGGCACTAACAGCACAAATATAAGAGCAAATCAAGTGGATAAACAAATTGTTTGGACTGTTAAAAGGGAAATCAATGCTCATACTGGGATATTTTAAAGCAAGTTTTTGTCATTTCTTGTTTCTTGTGTTAATAATTTACAGCAAATTGATTAACATACGCCATTTTATAGTGAAAGTTAGATGTACCCCTTCGATTTACGCTCGTACCCCTAGGGGTACATGTACCCCTGGTTGAGAACCACTGCGCTAGATGTTCGGAGTGTAGTCACGTGTTAGGAATGAGACGTCACTCACTGCTCTATCACGTGATGCAAGAAACATGTCAGATGTTTCTCGTGTCTCGTCACGAGAGAGGTCTCGTGGCCGAGTTTCAGTGTAGTCACATGACAAAATGACATAGAGGGGAGATCACGGTCACGTTTTCTATTCATCCACAGTCCAACGTGCTTCTCCACGACGACAATAAGCGTTAAGAAATGGCGTCTCGAACGGAGCACAGTCGGTAAGTAGTCTTATGATTTTTTTTTATAGCTCTTTTATATGCGTCGCCCCAAAACATTTCTATCTGTATAGGATAGTCTACTAATGAGGTATCTTAAGAAAGAAATACAGTATTAAGAAAAAACGCGTAATGCAGGAATAATATACAATTACTATTAGCCTTTAAAATTAATTCTTCAAAAAATCGTCTTAAAGAATTTGAAAAACTTAACGGTTGATACCGTATTCCACCGTCGTTTTTTAAATCCGTAACCGCATTTCAGCAGAGGGAACTACAAAGGATTATAGATGTTACTTCTTTATTATACTATGCATTTCGGGTATAAGATTTCTGATGTTACTTGCACCCCTCATCAGGTGTTACATTTCTTTTTATTTGTAAATTATATAGCATCGCGGTATCGATGTTCTATCCCCTAAGGCAGGGGTGGCCAACCTTTTGCATACCATGCGCCAATTTTTTGATAGACGAGTTCAGATGCGCAGTGGCGTACCGTGGGTGTTAGCCGCCCGGGGCGGAGAAAAATTTTGGCCACCCCTTAATCAGGTATTTCAATTCATAAGACGAAAATTCAGTTTTGTCACACAACAAGTAATGAAAAATGTGGTGGTAGTGAGAGTGGTGTACACGACTACGAATGTATCGTGCATCGTAGAAGCAAAAAAATAAATAAATAAAAAAAAGTTCAACCGGTCTCGCAAGAAGTTAGTAGTTCAACCGATTCTCGGACCGTCCGGACAGTAGCCCTATCGTGGGACGTTAGCACTGTCATTTAGACGCCTATATACTGATCGAAAATAAACATACATGCATACACTGTAATTTACTATGTGGAGAACACTCATTTTATCTGTAAAGTTCATTGCAACGAATTGTGCAACAAATAAACTTGCTAAGACAGACTATAAAAAATTAATTTTCTATGTAATATTCTTAATTGCAAAGAAGCCAAATCTGGCGTTGTTGCTCAGAACTGACTGAAGCGCCACATGTAATCGTCCAATGCGCCAAGTTTGGCGCATGCGCCACGTTTTGGCCACCCCTGCCCTAAGGCATTTCCAACTGTCCTCTTATGATATCTGTGACAAAATTATTTCTTTTAATTGCTATAGGGCAATACGATTTATAGTTTAGAATTTTATCCACATTGCAGTTTTTTTTATAAGGTTTTATATTAAATATGTTTTTCCTGCGTTTTATAGTTACGTCCAAATAATTAATTGCATTTTTAGTTTCTGTATCGCTTTCAAATTTTACAGAATGGCTTAGTGTGTTCGCATAGTTATATATTGTATTTTTGTTAGTTATTAGCGTGTCGTATATTATTATGATGTCATACATATCTAACTATAAATACTATTACATTTAGGTTTGTTGCTAATACCATTTTTTCGTCTATATATTTTTTCCTCGATATGAAAATAATTATTTTTAAAACTATATTTTATTAACTCTAGTAATCAGTTGTGTATAGACATACAACAACATACAACATAGATTTCTTAGGCTTTTTTCAATAAGTTCCCACTTTATTGATAGGTACATAGACACTATGTCCAAACTTAATATCCTATATGTTTGTTTTATTTTTAATCCCATTAGTTTTCTTATTAATTGTCAGTGTTTTTTATTGAGTAGTTTGAATATGAAACTATTTTTAGTTTTTTCTTTATAAATAATTCTAAATTATATAATACTGTATGTTTAAAATTTACTAATGGTCTGCATATGTCACCTTCTTTGTCTGTTTTTAGACGACTTTTAAGTTGCGGTTTCCTAATATCATTATAGCTGAGCATTTGTTTTCTTTCACATGGTGTAACTTCTTCCTGTTTATATAATTTTGTGATTTATTTTTTTCATCCTTTTTTTATTTCTTCTTTTGGATCTTTGGTTAGTTCTATAAAATTATCTGTTGTTACTATTTCAGATTTTTTTTCCCCCATTCTCCGTTAACAACGATGATCTGGTTAGTTTTATCTGCTTTGATAAGATTTAAATTATTTTTCTCTAAGTATTTTTTTAATATTATACATTTTTTAAATATTCTTTCCCCCACTTTCCGTTAACATTGTCTCATTTATTTTAGTTATGTTTTCTAGTTTTTTAATGTCACATTTTATTTGGTGTTTTAAACTACTTCTATCCCCTTGTTTTATTTGATTTACCGCTTTATCAATTTCAGAAACTATGTTAATTGCTTTGTGGTTTAGTGGCATATTGTATTTTTACTTTCCTTCAGTTGGACAATTGGAAATGCCTTAGGGGATAGAACATCGATACCGCGATGCTGTTACAAATAATTTACAAATAAACAGAAATGTAACAATGGTTAGTGAGCGCTAAGATTGGCTTTACTTCTCTTCTAGACTTATTACACCACCACAGGACATCAAATTAGATTTAGAAAAACACTATTTTATTTTCAGAATGCATTTCGGACATAGAGTCCCTCATCAGCTATTTGCTACAAAAATTAATAGGAGGTTAACAATTTTATAAAAAGGCCGTGATTGACATAAATGAACAAAAATGTGGACTTACATTTGACATGTGGGTTCGACGCGTTGAACATTAATTAAAAGATTAAGCATACGATATACAAGATTTCTCGTTAAAAACNCGTGGGGGGAGGGGAGAGGTGTGAAAACGGATAGGGGTGAGGGTGACAGTCACCCTGGAATGTACTTCGAATCGTCTTCTTACTCTGTTCGTGTTACTGTGAATT